TCCCCCATGCTACCTCCAGCCTCTGACAGGATTACATTAAGTAATGATCAAAGAACAAGAAACCTGCCACTCAAGCAGTCTGCAGTGACAGACTTCTCTGAAGATAAATGCTTCTACAAGGCTCCAGGACAATTTTTACATGATGCAAATATTAAGATACTGCTCGTAAAATGCAGTATTATAATAAATCTTTTAAACCTCATCATCCTCTTACAGGAGTTTAAAAAGAAGAACCCTGCATCTCTAAGAAAATGGATTACTAGTAAAGTTTGGTATCAATTTCTTTATTCTGCTCTACAATGAACTAACAAGTTTAAAAATTCAGTATGTTGTCACAACTCTACAGAAATAGGCATTACATCATACGTACACTATTTTTAGAGATACAAATAATCTCCATTTTAAAAAATATCACTGAGAGAACTGTCAAAAATATATGTGGGTAATAAATACGCAGAATAACAGAATGGTTTGGGTTGGCAGAGACCTTAAAGATCATCTCACTCCAGCCCCACTGCCTTGGGCAGGGACACCTTTCACCAATCCCAGGTTGCTCCTGGAAGCCCTGGAGTCCACAGGATGGGGAGTCCACAACCTCAGATTACTGACCACAGTCATTAATTAGAAAAAAAGATTTGAGTTTACAGGTTTGAGAATCGCACAGAAATTTGTATCAAATTCTTAAACCCCGTTCGGTTTTGAACACTGTATGAATTATAAATGCAAAACTTACTATATCTCAGGTTTTATTTTGTACTTGTGAAGATAAATCCTTGAACCATTTACTTTTCTATTACTTGATCCAAGATCAAAACAACAATTTAGTTCTCTGGTGCTTTATAAAAATTACCATTAAAATATTTTCTTTAAAGCTCTGTCATAAAGTTATCTGCTGTTAGTCTGTCTGCAGATTTTTAAGCTCCTGCTGCATGGGCACAGAAGTTGGGATACAGTTTAACAGAGATGATCACAATTACTTTCTTCTTTTGTAATTAAAACCCACAGTTGCATTATTGATTGGGTTGAGAACTAGACTAAGAATAGAAGTGACTCAATATTTATCTCCGTTGTGATGACCCCAGCTCCTGGATGCTTATCACCACAAAGAAATGCAATCAAGCTAACAGATCAGATCTGAAGCAAGAGCAGGCAGAATTAACACCAGTGGCACATTTCTTCCTAATCTGTTCATTTGGAGCAAGAGCTTTTGCCAAATGTGTCCAGCCCCACCTTCCCTCCCCCACTCAGGACACCCCTGCAGGGCTGATGTGTGAGATGCACAGTTATAAGTGACAAAAATGAAGAAGTCCAGAAATGCCCAGGGATGAAGAGATGGGATGGAATTACAGGGATGCTCAGACCTGCCCCAGGCACACAGAGCTCAGGGCTGTCACCCTCCCAGACAGAGCCCCCTCCTCCAACCCTCCCTGGTAGCATCACTGCTTGGGATCCTGAAAAAGGATTTGCCAAACACACATTTATCCTCAGATCTGTCTGGTTTGCTGTGCTGCAGAAGGGAAAAAAATCCCAGCACCAGCAGAACATCAACACAACCATGGAGCAGCCTGGAGGGGCAGGAGAGCCCAGGCACCAGGAGAGAAGGGCTGGCACTGCCCACAGTGGCACTGCACAGACAGAGTCACATCACTGGGGAGACAGAAACAGAAATACAAACCTGCTCGGTTTGAGGGAGAAGAGAGAGCACTGCCAGCATGTGCTCACTGTGTTTTACTTGGAAGAAAAAAAAAACAATCCAATGACAAAATCCTAACCAACTTCAAAAACTTACTCTGCAGACAACCAGTGCTCTTGTGAGACAACACAGCTATGAACCACAAAAATTTAGTAAAGGCATCTAAATGGCAACTCCTTCACCAAAGAAGCCAATCACATTATCCCTTTTTACCTTTTTAACAGTAGTCCAATCAGCTGAGGGGGGGAAAGAAATTTAAGATACGAAGATATACAGTTAAACTAAGCCCTAGAACTCTCTTAATTAAGAAGCATAAAAGGAAAGAGCTTCAAGGATGGTAACAATAATTTAAAATATTATTTAAAGTATCTGCATAGAAATTTTGGTTTCATGGCCAGTCAGGTCTTTCTACAGAACAAGTTCCAGCACTAACAAGCAGGGACTTCCATGTGAGGAGTAGGTGTAAGCTCATGTCACAACCCAACAGGGGATGTTTTATAAAACATATATTAACCTTAATCATAAATATAATCACAGTATATTTAATGTGCAGAGATTTACATTCTAAGGAGTTAATGCAGATTGCATGGATAATTCTCCTTAAAAGCAAACACAAGAAATCCTCTATTTAAGGAAATATTCTGAGCTGAGTTAAAGCAATACTGAATTTCAGTACCTGTAGGATCTGAGTTTTCTTCAGAAAGCAGAAAACTACTTGTGTGTGAGAGATTAGGCACGTAAAAACTTAAATGGTGCCATGCTGAGTACTCCAACATCAACCATGGGAGCCCAGCTGGAGTCCCTGCAGAGGCTGGAAAGCTCTGAGCCCTCCCTGAGCACACAGGGCTCACAAAAGGTCCATCAGGACACATTCAGCATCTGTCACAGAGCACTCAGCAACAGGCTGGACAGGGAAACACAACTCTGTGCTCATTCATTAACATTATGCCAGAGAGGAAATCTGCTGCAGAGTTTGTAAACAGTTTTCCCACTCTGGCAGAAACGTTTTTGCAAGTTCCTGTCAAATGGAAGTTTCGCTCAAAAACCCTCTTCCTTATCCTGCTTCCCTGCCTGTGGGAGGGGGTTGCAACTACATGATCTTTAAGGTCCCTTCCAATTCAAGCCATGCTATGATTCTGCCATTCTCTCGTGGGCTACATCAAGGGTTACACTATAAAACCTGTTTGTCAAGGCCTCTGGGAACCAACAGCCATGTATGAGCAGGCTTATCCAGGCAGGAGTTAAACCCAGGCACAGAACTAACCATACCTCAGAAAAAGTCATTATCTTACCAGTAATGGAAAAATATAGGCACCCAATTTTTATTTACTTGTCACACAGGCAGTTTGGTTATCACATTTTTATTCTGAATCATCTGTTGAGTTACAAGTTACTTTTTGCTACCCTGAGTACTGTGAGTATGACACTTTCCAATTAGGAGCTCACAGTCTACAAAGCAAGGACTGGTATTTCAATTCAGGCTGCTAAAAACCCAGCAGCTTCCAGATTTGCTAGCAGAGAGGTGGTTGTTTACTCCTTGCCACTTAGCACTCACTGATCCAGGAAAACACTTAGCAGCATTAACAGGACTCTTCTTATATATTCCTAATTAACTGACATTAAAGCAGATTTAGGAATGTGCTGTTTGATTTCCATCAAATGCTGATATATATATATATATATATATATACACACATTCACAGATCTGAAGAAGCCACCAGGTTTGCAACAAGCAAGCGTAGGTGCAGGCCCACGGGTGCTCCACATCATTGATAACAAGGAAATAATTCAACACGAAGAAAAACAAATCCACAAGAAGAAAAATCCTAATGAGGACATCATTTGTTGACTCATCACAGTCCCTTGAATGTACCACACCAGGTCCTTGCAGCAATAACTGATAACCTCTGAAATCATTCACAAAGCTGTGTGACTTGGTCTTTCTCAGACCCAAGATGCCAAGTCCCTTGTCACGCACCCCTCTGGGTAAACACCACAGGTGGCATCAGCTGTTCCTGGGATTCTCCTCCTCTTAGCACTGAAATCTGAGAGTTATTATCTGTGTGCTTATTGACTGTCACAAAACCAAAGAGACAGAGATAGATTCTGTCATACGCAGACTGGAATTTAATTCCTAATAAAGCCTTATGCTGGCCTGCCCAGAGCGTGAGGGTCCAACATCTCATTTCTTCAATAACTAATTCAATGGCTTACTAATGATAAAATCCAACACATGTGACAGTTCTAGAAATGAGATGGCAGAGAGTGTTAAACTTCAAGCAGCATATTCTCTTCCTGTCACAGACATATTATTGCTGTGCAAGACCTAAAATCACCACCTGCAACCCAACCACTACCAACATACAGGAAAACCAGCAGTTTATATAAGTTATAAATTCATATCTGAAGCACATATCAGATATTTTGAAGTGTATCAACTGAGAGAGGCTTTGTATCTTTTGGGGAGATGAAAAGGAAGACGGGGAAAAAGGGGAGAAATTGAATTTGTTTTTCCTTTTCTGTGCACAAAGACCACTCAAGGTTGGTACTTCATCATTAGTACTGGTTTTCACCTTTGATTTTCAAAGCAAATCAAAGTATCCAGAACAATTATTTTCAATTAAATAATTTGTCTAGATCAGATGTATATCCTGCCACCAAGCAGGAAGTTTGCATGTGAAGAATAATGGTAAAGAGAGAAACCTTCACATAAGCATTGTGGTCATGAAACCACAGCGGTACAAGCCTTCAACACAGTGCAGTTTACAGTCTGAGCTGTTATTTAAGACCAGTAAATTAGCTGCTGTTACTCTTTTTGATGCTTGAACTACCACTATTCTACTTTCAAGCAAGTAAACACGACCAAGTACGACAGTGTTAATGCTGTATTGAACTGCATCTGTGATTAACTCAGCTCTAAATCACAGTTCAAATTTACTAAGGAAAGAAAAGAAACCTACATCCTACATCCAACAATTCCTACATCTTACCAAAAGAACTCCATGTAAAACCAAAAAAACCAAGAATGATCATTTCTCTGTCCAGTGAGCATGTCAAGTTTTATTTATAGTGCTCGACCAAAGATCCCTAAACCAAAAAATCCCAATGTATTTTCTAACTAGTGCCTGAACTTCACTTCCACCTACGGTGTTGAAATCCAAACCACTCCACTGCTCCCCAGCAAAGAGCGGCCTCGGAAAAGACGAGCATGGACTGCTCCACTTCACCAGTTGTGCCAGCAAAAGATGCCAGGCAGCCAGGCAGAGCACACGATGCCAAGGAGCCAGGCAGGGCAGAGCAGACTCACCGACACGTAGCTGCTGCTGTCCACGTTGTCCGTGATGGTCTGGCGCTCGCCCCGCTGGTTGATCTTCCTGTACCTCCGGCGGGACTGCCGCAGAGGGACCTCTCTTTGCAAGATGTTTTCCTCATTGTCTTTGGAGTTCTCCACCTGAAAGACACGTTCGGGTTCCTGGTTAAACATCCAGTTCTTCCATAGCACCGAGAGCCGGTGGAGCCGTAGGAAGCTCATGGGGAAGGAGCAAACATAAGTTCAGGGCAGTTAAACCCTTCTGGGGAAAACGGCCGCGGGCGTTTCGGAGAACCTCGGCTGCAGGTCTCAGAACTGCTCATTACAATGAGCCGGAGGCCACAGTTTCCTTCCAGGAAACAGTGTTTTTTAAAAAAAAAAAAAAAAAGTAAAAAAGGCCCACGTATCCTCTAAAAAATGTCACTCATCAGTAGAAACCCGTCTGCACCCACATGTATCACACAACACAAGTTACACACACTGCTCATTTCAAGTGTATCTTCAACACAGAACTCACCATTTCTTTGTGTATTTACAACCTGGCAAAGAGACTGAATTACATCCCATTTTTATTAGTGTAATTTTTAAAAGCATAAAACTTTTTTCTAGTAACAGTCACAGCTAAACAACTTTAAATATTCCAGTTTTTTATAAATAGCTGCTCCATCTATGTCATACTGCTTTCTAATCACTTCCAGCAGATTATGAAGAAATAACTGGAACTTGGTTCATATCTTAATGTTAAATATTATTTGTGACTAAACATTAAAAATTAGGTAAATTTATCTTGTTAGTAAAAGCCAACATGAAACCTTTTATCTCACTAGTTACAATTTTTTTTTTCTATAAAAAGCAGTCTCATCCTTTCCCATTTCCTTTTGATGTTTTGGAAAAATATCTCCCAGCAGGAAGCAGAGCAGACATGCATGCAAATAGCTGCAGTGGGCAAGAAGCCTCTCTACAGTGTATTTACTATATTGAGGGTTTTACTGTCCTCAATAGCTTATTTTTATTTTTTTCTGTCTCCAATTTTCACTTGAAAATCCTAAACATTGAGACTTTACTACTGGAACAGGAGATGTGATCTCACACAGCCCTCACTTCACATACTCGGGTAAATTATCTCAAAATTAAAATTCAAAGGGTATAAAGGAATGTAACCCAGACAGACTTAACAGACAGGAACAGGAAAGCAACCAAACTACCTAAACCATCACAAAAGCAAGATCACATCTACTTTCTACATAATTTTTTCCAAACAGCTAAGTCTGTCTGAGGTCAGAGGAAGGTGCAAGCAGCTGGGTTTGTCTTGTAGGTTATTTTTTATTCCGTAGAGAAAAAGAGACATTAACAACACAGGTTAAAGATCTAACAGTTAGAAGAGTGAAGCTCACACCACAGTACTGCAGAAAAAAAGAAATCAGAAAAGCCAAGTTCCTCCCACAAGAGACACCCACACTTTTCACCAGAAAAGGTGAAACACAGGCCAATGACCAAAGCTGTCCAGTTGCAGCACTGCTGTAAGCAAGATGGAACAAGGGAGTAAAAATACAAGGTAGGCAGGCAGAAACACAAAAAGAAATAAAAACCCCTTTTGATCAGGCCATTTATTATCATCAAAAAATGTAGTGAGATGCTCTATACAGAAGCCTTTCTTCACTTAGCATAAAATACAGATTTTAGTTAGCAGTAATGGTACTCTCAAGTTATACAGAAGGCTTCCCAAGGTCAGGAAGTTTGGGTTGGTACTCATCAAATAACCAAAATTGTGCTTGGTTAATTTTTAATGCATTATCCTTTTTTCTCTGCGTTCAGTCTTACAAGATCAGAGAAACTAAAATGAGCAGTGAGCTTCTGCAACAGAAGAGACTAACCTGGACCTGCTGAGGAGGCTGGATAAACTCTTCCAAAACTGATGACTCTCATTATTCAGAAGCCCCAAACTAACAGATATTTCTAAGACCCAAGTAAAACAAACACTCAGTGAAAGGGGAAATTCTTTTTCTTCCACAGTTCTAACTGAAAACTAAGAAGTGAGCATAAATAAATTATTTGTTAGCACCAAGGCAAAACAAACAAGTGCTGAAAATTGAGAAACTGAGACCACCTGCTTCCTTCAGTTAGTGCACTGCTGTTGACAAAAACAACATGAAAATCAGACACCAGGAAAGACCTGCACACCACAGAGCTCCCAGGTGAGGACCACCAGCACCAACAGTATTTTGAGTCCAGCTGACCATCAGGTTGGGTGCCCTCAATCAGCCCTGATTTCAACTGGTTAAAACTAAAAATTTCTGTTAGCAGAGAGGTGTCATCCTCCTCACCCACCCCCCAGCTGGATGAACACCCCTACAGAGGAATTTGGGGAGAACAGGTCCAGGCTGCAACCAGGCTTCCAGGTCAGATGGAAACACTGCCCTGCAGACTGCTTCTCATTATTTCAGTTCCAATATAGAATCATGGAATTGTTAAGGCTGGAAAAGGCCTCTAAGATCATTAAGTTCAACCATTAACCCAGCACTGCCAAGTCCACCACTAAACCATGGCCCCAAGTGCCACGTCTACACGTCTGTTAAATCCCTCCAGGAATGGTGATTCCACCTGGGCAGCTGTGCCAGGGCTTGACAACCTTTCCCATGAAAAAAATTTTCCCAATATCCAACCTGACCCTCCCCTGGCACAAACTGGGGCTGTTCCCTCTCCTCCTGTCCCTTGTTCCCTGGGAGCAGAGCCCGACCCCCCCCAGCTCCCCCCTCCTGCCAGGGAGTTGCAGAGCCAGAAGGTCCCCCCTGAGCCTCCTTTTCAGGAGGATGCTCCCATATCCCCAGGTTCACCCATGGCACTGGCTGCCACACAGAAAAAACTGAGGACTGTCCCCAGTTTCACTCTGCAGCCCAAGCCAGCAGTGAAACATTTTCCACCTCTAAACCCCACACTGCTCTTCTGGAATCTCACACTCAGATCTGAAGAAAGTGAAAGCACCAAGGAACAGAAAGGACACTTCAGTACACCAAGATATGCTGCAATTCCAGGCCATTTTCTTAAGTGATAAATGGGCCTATTATTAATTCAATAGATTGCTCAGTCTCCAAAAATATGAGTTACAATGCCCATTCACACACTATCTGTTATCCTCATTAACTTAAGCTGACCACATTTTATGGCCTTTAAAATGGGTCAGTTCCCAGAGGATTCCCACTACAAAACTGATTTACATTCTAAAGTAAGAGCAGAGAGGAAAAAAAAAATTTAAAAAAATCAGTCACCAGCAGGGAATGATGGTGTTCTTTAACTCCGTTAAAGGAGCCAACTAATTATTTTGCTTGAAGATAAATATTCATTATGTATTAAACCTCATTATTATGTTGCAAATTAAAAATGAGAGAAAATAAAAGAATTAAGATAAATTAATAAGAATTGATCAGGGAAATGAAACTCAAGTACACCTTGTGTCAGTGCAGATCATTAGCAAGGTGCACACCACCACACTGGTGCTTTTTTCTCACGCTGTTTGAAGTACAACTCAGAAAATACAGTTAACAGCACCTTTGGCTACATTTACCTATAAAACATGAACATAAAAATAATGAAGAAACAACTCTGTACTTTTAATTCTCTGATCTTCCCACAGGAAAAATATACTGAAGTTCCAGAGAAGGATGTAAGATACTTTTAAGCATCTCTATACTCTCGTTGACATTTAACTACAATTACTGATAATTCAAGAGATTTAAAATACAGTGAACAACTGTCTGGGCTGCACATTTGTCTCCAGGAACACCCAGTAGCTTTTGAAGTTGCTGACATGGCCAGTGCTGGCTTCTCCAGCTACTGTGATCCTGTGTTCCTCTGAAAACACTCAGCACAGTTGTAGCTACTCAAGTTACACACACAACACTAGTTCCTCCATAAAATATTTTAATAAAGCCAGTTTCTGGTAGCACACACTTGCACAGAAGCATCTTCCTGTATTTATTTTTATTTTACAATGGTGATGTGACCAAAGAAGGATGTAGGTATTTCTTCAGAATTTCATATTATATTTTGCCTATGAAATATTTCACGTAATCTTGCAAATGCACTTGTAGTGAGTGAGTCACCAGCACCCTCCACTAGCCCAGGCTGCTCCAAGCCCTGTCCAACCTGGCCATGGGCACTTCCAGGGATGGGGCAGCCACAGCTTCTCTGGGAAATCATTCCAGGGCCTCCCCACCCTCACTGTAAAGAATATCTTCCTAATATCTAATAATAAATATGACTGGGTGAGTGTTTGTCATTCTGTGCTACAAGGTGCCAGGAGCGTTGAGGTGAAAGGCTCAGCTCAGCCCAGACACTGCACTGAGCACCCCAAATCCCAGGGAACACTCAGCACCCCAAATCCTGGACAGCAGCAATTTAAGCAGTAGCAATGCACAGCAGCAAAGGCAAACAAGAGTGCCCGGGGCATTCCCATGACACGGCTGCACACACTGTCACCCTGTGCCATCACTGTGACACCCTGTGTCACACTGTCCTGTGCCATCCCTCAAGGCACAAATCTCCCCCCAGAACTCCAGCTTTGAGAAGAGACTGGGTAATTGGGGATAAAATAAATGAACTGTTTCACTCCAGAGGATGGAGACAGGCTTCTTGCACTCTTAAGCTGCACTTCATGGCAGACTGCAGCTTCAAGTGTGTGCTGCAGCAAAGAGCATATTACTGATGGTATCAGAGCCATGAGCAGAGTCAGACTGACACTGCACAAAGGACAGCAAGTGTACTTGGTACAGGACACCACTGACATCCCCACTGGTCTGTACTGTGAGACACAAACTTCCTACAGGAGCTGAATACTCACAGACTCAGTGAGAGACACTGTCAAATATTAGTTTTAATGTTACCATATCTAGATCTAAGGCAGCCAAATCAATAGCAGTCTGGAGATCTGAGACTGATTAACAGACACGTGGCTTCTCAGCACAACAAACAGTTTTGTTCCAGCTCCATTAACAACAACCAAGATGAAAGTTAAAGGAGATCTCCCCGTGTCCCCAGGCACAGCACTGGGGCACAATGTCAGGCTGCACTACGGAAAAGCAATCCTAATATTCCAGCTGTTGACAGCATGTGCACATCAACCTGGAAAGGACTGAGCTACTCTCTATAAGCAACACTCTGTGTTATCATCTGTATGTGCACCTGGCAGTTTTGTGAAGAAGTAGAAGGAACCCTGGGCATTAAGGTTGGTGACAACTAAGCTGAAAACTTTTATCCTTCAAGCTTGGCTAAGCACACTCATGTTTCTTCTGCTGCCTACGAGCCTTCACACTGTGTGGCACTGCAAAGGCTTGGAGGAAGGAGGCTTTTCCTCCCAGACACGGTCACTAAAAGCAATGAAATGGGAGATGGGGGTGTAAATAAAATATTCAGGATAGAAGGCTGTCATTGCCTGACTCAGGAATGCTCAACTCAGCCGTGACTGTTAGGCTTTTGAAACTCAAGTAAGCATAATTTTAGAAAGAATGACCTAATCATCATCATCATTTACACATCTAGATTAAATTTACATAGCTACTGCTGTTACGAGAGCAGCCATAGGTATAATTGAAATCAAGGCAATTTTGCTGCAATTTTATAGAATACTTTACAATAAGCTTTCTGCTGTAAAAGAGAAAGAATTTGCTGAAACCAGCAATAGATTTAAATACATATGAGAAAAAATCTGTCTTACCACAATCATTTCTGAAGGCTCCAATATGATACATTCGCATCCTCGCTTTCCTCCAGACTGCTTGCCAAAACTAGAGTGGGATGGGGAAAAAGCAAACAAAAAAGAATGAGATGAACAGCTATTTTACCTTTTCAGTAACCAAAATAATTGGCAATGGTGCACGTTGTTAAAAAAAAAAAAAGGACAAAAAAAATTGATGAAAACTATTGTGTGAAAAATTCCAACCAGATAGTATCATTATCATAATTTTTTAATTTATTCAGCACTGCTCATCATGGTCTGCTACATAATGCCTAAATATAAAGAATGTTCTTTTGTAAAATCCATTATGACTTGCAGATACTCAAAATCACTTATAATACATTTCAGTTCTGACAAGAAAACATTAGTAAATTTTAATTAAACATTAAATAGGCTTTGTAAAAACAAATATACGTAAATTCCAAGGACTCCAAAATACTACTTCACACGCAGCATTTTTAACAAGAGTTCCCTCAACTCCAGGTCACCTTCTCATCCTCCCAGGAAAGGGAAGGACAGAGAATCTCTTCTCTAACACTGGGCCTTAACTTGTGACCTCTGTCTTTGTGTTGCTTACTGTGCCATCACAAGGTGATGGTATCACCGTGATGAGCTCTCTTTAAGAAGTGTGAAAAACCACAAATGCCACAAAGTGTGATGGGCAGTGTAACACAGCACCTCAGGAGAGCAGCTAAAGGCAACCTGATGTGCTTCAGCTCATCAGCTTTAATAGACAACTTCCTTCAGGACACCCACCAGAGGTGGCTTCAGGGAATCACCTCTGGAGGAGGCACCGTGCCAGCAGAGCTGAGCTGGACACTGCTGGGGACACGGGGTGTGTCACAGACCAGTGACCTCTGAACTCACTCCATCTGTGCCTGCAGTGGCACCAGCCATTGAGAATACCTGGCTGCACATATTGAGTTTGTCCTCACTCCAGGCCGCTGGCCTGAGGTGGGTTTGCTCGACCCACCCTCTCCCTGAGCCCCCAGGAAAGCGATGCCAGGCCCGTGTCCCATGGAACAACCCCCGTGAGGAGCAGAGGGGTGGCTGGAGTGGCAGCCCTGCATTAGCAGTTCAGCAGTTGTAGCTGCTGTTACAAACTCAGGCTGTCAACATCAATCACGTTTTAACACCTACCAGCAGGTGAGACAACCGAAGAATCAGTTAACGCAAAGCAGGGATTAATGTGTGAATTACAAGGAAGTTCAGACAAGTGTGGAGACAAATCCTTAAAAAGTGGGTCGGCTCCATCTGCTTTCACTGAGGTTATGCTTGGAAAGTACATCTGAAACTCCAGCCACACAAGATTTGAGCCATGGTCACCTTGAGCCATGGCAAAGATCTGTGAAACACCACCTTGGACAAAACATTTAAAAGACTCGTGCTAATAAACTGTGTGTCAGGGGAGCACTCCCAAACTTCTGCAGGATACGTTGCTCTTACAGGGAAAGAACTAAACTAGACTAAAGCTGAAGGAGGGAATGTTTAGACATTAGGAAGATATTCTTTACAATGAAGGTGGAGAGGCCCTGGCACAGGTTGCCCAGAGAAGCTGTGCACTCCTGGAAGTGTCCAAGGCCAGGTTGGACAGGGCTTGGAGCAGCCTGGGACATGGAAGGTGTCCCTGCCCATGGCAGGGGGTGGAAAAAGATGAGCTTTAAGGTCCCTCCCAACCCAAGCCATTCTGTGATTCTATGAAACTGTGAAGTTACCCAAGTTACATCAGAATATTCCAACAAATCAGTGTAATCCCATGAGGATAAAGAATTACAATTAACAAGGGCACAGCAGCTTGCACCGTCGAGTTTTGATTTTGCTAATGGTCTACTGAAGAAGAAAAAAAAAATATTTAAATTACATGATTGCCATGGAGTGATAAACGACAACTAAAATTTTCTCACTCAGACCAGGGAAGCACAGGTTTCACACAGAAAACTGGCATTTTCACACATCTATACTAAGAAACTCAGAGCTAAAATTTTCATGCCTTCTTTCATGCTTTTTCCACACAGCATGTGATCCAGGCATGACAGTCTTGTGTATTTGCAATACATAAAAAGAATGGCTGAACTACTCTCATTATTATAAAAAAGTTAATTCAGTTCAGAAAATACAGAAATGTCATTTTTAATGTCAGCTCCAACTTCAAGGTGAACTGAAATTCCATGTTAGGATTTCTTCACAAACCAAAGAGTAAAGTGAGACCAACTTTGCTACGGGATCATTTACAGTTGCAAAAAAAAAAAAAAAAAGAAAAAAAAAAAAGGAAAAAAAGTTACAAACAGTTGCAATTCTACTCCTTACAACAGAAAGCTAAACATAAGTGATTTTTTCCCCCCAAAACTAAAATTCTAAAGGAATTGTGTGCAACTGGAAGTTTCAAATTTTGCAGCTTTTTAAAAACAGAAATAATCATCATCGGGTTTATCACAAAACAGATTATTGCTACTATTGCTGTGTCTCCTGTAGTTAGGAAAAGGCTCCGATTTCCTGCTGCAGGTTGTTCAAGTACAGTGTTGTTGTTGTGTAACAACAATTTATCAAACTCCACGAGGTTGGGGAAGGGTTGTTTTCCTTTTTGTTTTGCTTTACATAAACACATTCCTGAAATTCAGCAACTGTCCAGCTCCCCTCTGCTCACTTTTGCAGCACTTGCTAATTAAGTAATGGCAGCAAACACTAAGGAGGAAGAGAAGAGTGCTTGGAACAAAGGTCACACTCTTGGCACCATCATTTCTGCTCCATCAGGCACTTTACAACAACCAAACACTCGGAAAAGGATTAAGTTCCAAAGACAAAACCCACCCTGCTAATCCTAAACTACTCACATTAACAAGTCAATAGGTCAAGTTTAATTATTTCCTGGAGCACATCATGGATGGTTTATCGATTATTCCTCAGCAGAGCTCCTTCCAAAGGAGGAGGCAGCATATGGTTTCTCCCCAGCCATAACCACCACTATGTCTTAAAAATATCCATTTTTAACATTCTTAATTAACATATGCAACATGTTTTAGAAACATAGATTTTAACGTTCTTAATGACTTATTCCATATTTTTCTCTGGAGTACAAATGTTTAGCTTCTCTATTAGTTAAGAGGTTTGCTGACATCAATAGACTTCACTAATCTGCCAGTTATAATCCAGGCCTCAGAAAAACGTTCATTCCCAATTAATTGGAAATGGAAAAGATTCAGTTGAACAAAGCTTTGCAAGGGGAGGAGATAAAACCCATTTGGGAAACAAGAGCAAATGCTGACTTTCTGTGACAACAAATTACTTGGAGGTCTTCAGTCGGCCACTGAAGACCCACCCAAACCTAAAATATGCTGGTTTTCAAAGGTGAGGGGTCTGGAAAGTACATCTAATTCTGGAAGAGGTGGGGCAATCTTATCTTTTGGTACTAAAAGACCTCGGTGTTGTTTGCAGGAGCTGTCACTCCTCACTCTTTCTGCTCACCCAGCTCAGCACCAACAGCCCACCACGTTCCCAGGGGGCCATGGCCATGGATGGCACTTCCCAGGGCCAGCTTTGCACCCTGGGCAGGTTGGATCTGAGCAGCCCATTCCAGCTGGGCTTCAGCACCTCTGCTTCCAAACCATCACAGCACCCTCCCCAACCACATCCCTAAACACCAAGTCCTCTTCATGTCACATGGCAAGACACACAAAAAAAAAAAAAATCAGGAAAGCCTCATTAAGGTACAGCATGTGACACTCACTTCAGTGCTTTCAAGCAGGGAGCAGGAAAAATAATCCAATTAAAAATTTAAATTAATACTGAAAGTGTGAGAAAACATGAAACTAATGTAAATTAAGCTCTACTTACAATAAAAACTATGTCAAAGGGGATACTACCACTGGTATAACTGTTAAAATTTTAAATGATCCAATTAATTTAATCGGTATTGTTAAAATATGTGTGATTTAAATAAGTCTTAAATTTAACATCATTATTCTATAGCCTCCCACTGCTGGAAGCCCAGAAAAAGTCAGTGCTATAAAACTACATCACAATTTTTTTTATTTATAATTTTATTATACACTCCTGCAACTTAATATTCATCTATTACATCTGCACCATTAATTTTCAGCCATTCACTCACTGCCCTGCAACACTGTCATGGGAAAAAAATGTCTTCCACATACCAAAGGCAGCTTTGTTTATCCTTGATTTATGGACGCCTCATTTGCAAGAAACCTTGTTTTCCTCCTGATTCACCACCACTCATAATTAAAAATGCTTAAAGAGTTGCATCATGTGAGAAAGGAATGTAAGTTAAACTGGCATGATATCCTATAGCAACCACTAATGGGTGTGCAGGCCATGGGATCAGACTGGAGCTGTTATAACAACCCTTATTTTTACAAAGCAAACTATTTAGAGAAGCCTCCAATGTAACATTATTTTAAACATAATAAAGCAGCTCTTTAAACAGGATGTGCACAAGCACTTACAAGCTTTCCGAACACAAATGCTTAAAAATTCTTCATATCCAGCTGTTGGACAACCTGAGTATCTGGTGCTGAAATACACCTGGAATTTCAAGACTGACAAATTTAAGCAACAGTTGTCACAATTTACTTAAACATTTCTTGATATCAGTATGCTCAAGTCATTCAATACGGATAGTTTCTCATTCTGCATTACTCAGAATACAGTACATACATTAAAGGTAAAAACACAGCCTGTCCTGAAGAGCTTTCAGCCTACAAACAGATGGAGACTGAGACTGAATGTCTTATTACTTGCCTCAACACTAATTAGTAGGCATCTTCAAATTTACAGTATTCTGCTACATCCTGAAACAATATTTTCAGATATTTTGGGCGTCAAAGCCTTCAGTAGCAGGATGTCAGGTATTTTACATTCTGTTCTGTACTTTCCAGGAACTACAAAATCATAACGTTATCCTGGCTGTGTAAGCTGGTGTCAATAAAAGAGTTATCTGTGATTACCTGCAGGAGCTTTACCTGCAGGAACACCCAGCACTGTGTTAATGCAGCACTGGGCCAGGACCCTGAAATACCAGTTTATCAACAGAATAAGCAAAGGGGTTGCAGATATTTTCTTCTTATGAATACACAGGTCTCTCAAACCTGCCTGTCAGGCTGCTTTTAGAAACAGAAAGATGAAGACAAATTGTACTTTTTGCCACTGCAAAGCAAACCCCATGACCCCGCTCATCCAGTAATCTGGATGGATTTCTTCAATGCAAGAACATTTTCCAGGCAAGTGCAAAACCTGGGCCTGGAAGAGACGAGTTGCATAAGGAATGGGAGGCAGGGTTTGCATTATGTGCTCTGGAAGTCCTGAGCTTTTCAAAGTAACTTCATTAGAAAAAATATTATAACACTTAACTCCATCAGAAAACGGTTTAAAGGAAACCTGACACCACAAGATACATGGCTGAATGCAAAATACCTTTTGTAATTAATGCTCAGTCATCAAAACCCATTTCTGCATTAGCTCTTAATAACAACATTTAGCAGGTTTATCTCTCAAGCCTGCTGAAGTTTTAATTGGAAATTATTTTGGAGGCTGTGTAACTCAATTTGCAGGCTGCAAGCTCAAGATCTCTGTACTAATTACTTTATACTCTGCACACAGTGACACTTTGAGGAAGCCAGTGGCTCACCTACCACTTTCTGTGAAGCTTTCCAGCTATTCCAGGCCATGGGATTAGACAGTCTTAGTAAAACTGTATTTTAGTTATAAACAAATCATACACGACCCTCTGCTTCCAATTTCATTTCTCTTGGACTTTTTTTTAGTTTAGCCAGTAAAAAATTTTCTGTGGCACAATCAGCATCCCCTGCAGTCCATAAAACCCCTAAAGGGCAGCTCTTGTAAGGAACTATGAACAGAGCAAAAGGAAGGTACTGGTCGGGTTGGAAATAACAGACAAGATTATTTGGTCATATAGTTGTGATAGGTCTGAACACAGTCTTTCTTCATTCTTTTGGCTTTCTTAGAAGATTGTTCCATGTCAAGAAAGATGTACTCCTAGTTTGCTACACCTTCCCAGCCCTTACTCCAGGTCAGCACCTCCAGCACAAGGAGCTGCACTTTGGGAGAACAGGACACTGGGTCTCTCACCTTTCCCTGCCTCTTCTCAGTCACATTCTCTTCTCCCTCAGAATATTTTCATCCCAGCACTAGCACTGCCAAAAGAATTTCAATACTAACAACTCCCTCTGAATTAATTAGTTTTACAAATACATTTATTGGTAGCATTCCCAAGTTGTTGGTTCACTTACTGGCAGTCAGGCAATGCTACAAGTTACAGCCACCACTTAACAGAAACACCCAGGGAAAACATCAACTCATCCAGAGCCACAAATGCACTGAATAACCACTGCTTTGATCCTGTGCTGAGTATAAAATCTATCAGTCTTGATAAGCACAGGGATGGAAGCCTCAAGCTGTCTCCATGAGAGCAGAAAAATAATCCACAACAGTTAGCTGAGAAGAGCTTTCCAGTGTGAAGCAAACAGAGAATATCATCCTGAGACCTCTGCAATTTTTAAATTTCTTACTCTGTGACTGTAAATCACAATTTAGAACCTTATGGGCAACTGCCAGTTGTCAGATATTAAGTTTACCATATGACAGCAGTGGACTGGCACACCTGGGTTTAGACCTTGGGAGCTGAGGGAGGAAAAGCACTATCCACACTACAGCCATCGGGACTGGGATTGACACAGAACAGATTCAAACATTACTAACAGTCACAGCAAGTTTCAAAACACAGCAAAATATTGTTATTTGCAAATATTAGCAAAAAACAAACAAACAATTTCAAGCCAAGCTGCTGTTCACAATGCAAAACTGGGAGTTCCTCTTTCAGTATGACAATTTTCTTCATCTAAGCATTTGTGTCTTCTCCTTTTATTAAAGAAAAGAAAGAGAACTGGCTTACTGAGTCACTGATGCATCTCCAGCACTTGTGAACAGATACCACAACACAGCCATGAGGCCACTTGGAATAAAGGAAGCGTTTAGGGAGTGTCCTACTCACTACATGAGTAGGACAATGATTCCAATTTTCTCCACTTGTGAGATTTTGGAAAGGCTTGGCAAAGAGAGTATTTGTTTTCAGTAAGACTACATCTTGAATGTTTCAAGAGTTTGTGTTTTTCCCTTGGAGGTTCAATTCTCCCAGCTGTAGGAGGCTGTCAGCCACATAATTGGTTTCAGAAGTTCCTCCAGGCCCTTGATGTATCTCCTATGGCTAATCTTGCTGTGAGTAATCTCCTTCAAATATCCTGTTCACATGAATTATCTTCATTAACAAGCAAGGTTAACACAAAACCTCTTTGACTTGCTGACACGGTTTTCCTTCCACGAATCCATCAATCCTGTTCTTTTATTCCAGCCATCTCTTTCTTGTTAGAGGCAAATTCTTGTCCTCCCATGCCCAATCTATTGACAAATCCATTCTCCAGGCAACAGGGCAATCAAGGTTATGCCATCTTTTTACCTGGTATTACTGACTGATCTGCTCCTTACCTTAAAAACCTTACAGGGCTTTTCTCCTCATGAGCATTAGTGTCAGAACATCGAATAGATTTACTGTACCTGGGTGCAAGATTTACTCCTCCACTTTTTAAACCAACTTCTGAACTACAACTTAAATACAAATTCATCCAAGGTAATGAAAAAGCCCTTCTCAAGCACAGAGAGCCCAGAGTTCTTCAAACACAAAGTGTCTGTCAAATGTTCCAGAGGACAAATATGAAGCTGAAATTAGCAACAGGACAAAGAGGAAACTGAGGAGTGGGGGTATTATCAAGTACACAAACTGAGTTTCAAACCAGAATCCATTTGCTGCCTAGGATCTGTTTTACAACATGCCTCCATCCATCCAGTTCTTCCAGAATGGCAATTATTCAAACCTGGCTCTTAACCTTTTCAGAGCTCTAGGAGGTCTCCAGATTAAAGCCTAAATTCTCACCATTGGTAGTTATCACCTTCCATTAAGGATTCTATTTTAGTCCTCATTCATTTACCCCCTGGCCATCTCAAAGCCATCACAGTCTTCTGCATCACTCCTGTGCAGAACACACCCATCTCCAACCTCTGCTCACAAGTAGACACATTTAGACCATATTTAACAAGTCAAACACATGAGCTTTATCTGATGCCAGTGTCTGGGCAGCACCAATCCTACCAGAAACCCAAGAGGCTGGAGGGATGTCTCCATTCCCTTCAGCAGTCTCAGAACACTTCAGGTGTGGTTTTCTTTTTATTCCCTACACTTTGCCACTTTCCTACTGTGAAAATTAAAAAGCACAGATAAAGCAGATAAATCCCCCCAAAATACTCTTCCTTTATTTCACTAGTATCTTACAAGATTATATGCTCATTAGGCAGAGAGAGCGTGGCAGCAAGTTACCTTTGTTTCCTGTGACAAGGAATAGCTCTGTAATACCTGAGGCAATGAGAATTAAGGCAATGCTGTGTTTTCTTATAGATTTGTATGCAAACCTCCTTTCAGAATGACCCACATGCTCAGGAACTTGGTTGGGGACAAAAAGCATGACATTAAGCATTGCTTTAAATGTAATTAAAATGCTGCTGCTAATCACAATTATGAAAGCATACTGCTAACTTATCTAAGCCACTGTTTCATAGGAAGTTAGCCTGTAAGTGACTGGTGACTCCCTCAACTACAGATGTGACAGATGAGGTATTCAGACCAGGGAAAGCAGCTGAAGTTTATCCCACTGTACTGAAGAAAAAAAAAAAGCATTATATTTAATGCATGAACATCATTCAAACGAAATAGAAGTGATCTGAACACCCTGGATAGCCAGCAGGAGTGCATTCCCTTCCTTTCCACGTGATCTCACCACCTACAGGGACAGTACACCCCAGGAACCACGTAAGCTGCAACCTGCCAGCAGCTCCATCTAACAGAACTCTGTGACCCTTTCACCATCTAGCAGCTATTTTTCCTCATTATCCATAATAACACTAGTTGAAATCTTGTGAATTAGCTATAACGGATCTATTTTGTCTTTTTTTTTTTTTTTTAAGGCACAAGAAACCTTAATGATGGTTATAAGTGACTTATTCTAAGTTTGGCAAAGCAATGATTTTAGAGAGGTTTTATGCAAATATCAGCTTGCAGTGTCCTCCCTTCTGGTACTCCTGAACTTATCACAGACTCATCATAGCATGGTTTGGGTTGGAAGAAACCTTAAAGCTCCTCTAGTTCCAATCACCAGCCATGGGCAGGGACACCTCCCACTAGCCCAGGTTGCTCCAAGCCCTGTCCAACCTGGCCTTGGACACTTCCAGGGATGGGGCAGACACAGCTTCTCTGGGCAGCTTCACTCCAGGAACTTCAGTCACTCAAGGAGCATTAAGAGTTTAACATCCAGCCTACAGTTAACAGAGAACTCAGCTGAAAAATGGAGTCCTGAGCGTTCTTATCAGTACTTCCCATGGAATTCAAGCCTATGGAAATGTACTGGAGCTGGAGTTGGCATTAAGGTTGTCAACACGGGCAGCTCGTGCTGAGTCAAGTGAAATACAGTGAAATAAAATTTCTGAGTGATGCACAAGGTCAAGCAGAGTATTACTCTGGGTACTCAGGGTATTACTTGAGCAAGTCCAGCTCAAGTCCAATAATGTACTTCAGTGAAAGCATTTCCCAACATTCCCTGTGCCTCAGCCCCGAGGTGCACTCAGACTCCTGGCATATGCTCTCTCTAACCAGTGCTGCTGGGCTCTTCTTGCTTCACAGAAAAATCATATATGCCATTAAACACAGCCTCCAGCCAAAGGGCAGAAGCCATGTGATCTGCAGTCGTTGTTTCTGACACAGGAAACTCTAAACAAAACAGTCACACAGCAGCAATTATTCTAAGAGCCACTATCAAACTTCAGAAAAACAAAATAATGAAAAAAATATTGTAAAATTCTTAAAAATTTACAGTAACACCAACATATAGAATGCATTTATTAAAAAAAAAAAAAACCACACCTTGCCTTATCTTAAGTAATAACAACTTCACATACCTGCAAGGTGGTAAAAACATGGAATCCTTCATGAGCACGGATCCAGAAAGTAGGATATACCAGCATCTTGCAATAGTTTCTGAGCTGTAAGAAAAGAAATCATTGATATCTACTTTCTTCTCACAACACCTCAGAAATATATTAACCAAAATATCACTGTAGTAAAATACTGATTTACCACTGTAGCAGTTTGATATGTAAGAAACTGAGCACTTGAATTGGATGCTACCAAGATGTTTTTTTAAAACATCTACGTCCAGAATGTTTCTTGTACTTTACAATTTGACATTTAAGTCAGCTTAAAATTTTATTTTATTAAAATGGAGTTATTAATTTTCAGTGAAAACATTTTATTCCAGAGAAAGTATACATAAACCTAGAAATACAGAACAGCCCACAATTCCTAAACACACATGCAGACTTGGCACTGGAGCAGGTGTGTGTCACACCACCCCAACTAGCAGGTGGTGTCTCATTTAGACTCAGGTGAGCTGGAAGCTGTGCCTTATACAGAAAGCTAGGATTAGCTGTGAGAGGGTAAATATACCACAAGCAATGCTAAAATACGAGGAAGACAAAAGTATATTTGCCTCCCAGTAGGAACTCAAAGAGAACTCTGAGCTCAAATCCTAATTCTTGCAATTTAAAGAGGTGGTGTTGGAGCTCCATCCCTCTCCCGTGCAGGATGCAGGCAGTGCCAGCTCCAGGGACACAGTGCCACCTACTGAGTGTCACCACAGCTCCCACCAGCCTTGGGGGGGACCCTGCCTGTGCCTTCCTGGTGCCACAGTCACACACAGACACCTCATGGGCACCCCTCAGATGCCAACAACCCTCCTACAAACACCTCCTGCCAAAGCTTTTAACCAAGCTGAAATGCTGTAAAGGCTTTTATTAGCAATGGCTGAAAGAGCAAATCATGTATCAAAACATGCAAAACCAGTGCTTTTGCTCACACTTCTACTGAAGAACTCCAACCAGTGCTGTGTACTCACCAAAAGAGGACTTGGTTGCCCTTGTACCTCTCATAGCGGGCACTCGATGACATTATTCTGAGGGAGGAGGAAGAGAAGTTTAATTTCAATTTTATTCCCCAAAGATCATGAGCCATTAATCACCATATTTCAGTAGAACCACTTTAAAGCTCTAAGACCTCGAATTCAACGATTTTTTTGTCCTAAAGAAAGGATGTGCTTAACCAGAAAATTCAAATTATTACGGTGTTCTTCATTATCCAAACAGATAATATACAGCATGTTCCCTAAGTGTTTAAATCACTCCCACACACTGGAATTACCCATAGCAACAGAGCTGAAGGAACTAAAATACTTCCAACGCACTTTTTATGCTTTGTGGGCCTTCCATTTTATGGATTCTGAGATCATCCGAATGTCTGAAGCATTAAAAAGCTTTTGTAATCAGGAGTTAAGAGAGGGCACTGTCTGCACAGTCCTTTGTAGGCAAATGGCAGTTAAGCTCTGCCTTCCTTCTTAGAAAGGCTAATTAGTTTGGATTCCATGCCCTGTTACTGCAGTGACTGCACTCAGCAATGGGCCTGGCCAATGCTCTGCCACCTCCCAGTGCAGGCAGACAAAAGCTCTGCTCATCTCCACAAAAATAAAGTCAGAGATACACAATGCTAGACAACTCTAGCTGCAGAGTACTCACCTCAGCTGATGCTCCCTGAAATGCGAGAGTATGTCCAGTCCATGAAGGAAAGAATAGATAGTATTTAAGTCCTAAAGAGAGAGAAAAAAAGAACAAACATGACCAACTTCATTCACAGCATCTAATCACTCAGCATTACTTTTCAGATTCTGCAATAAGTTACAGACCTATAATACATAATTCTAGAGACAAAGCCCAGATTAGGAGACAGGTCAGGGAACACACAGGCTTGAAGAACCCTGTCCCCACTTAAGCTGTGAAAGTGAAAAGAGTGAAATCCAACTGATGCATAAACACTCACCTGAAAAAAAAAAGATTTATTAAAAATATCTCTGAAAATATTTACAGGACTGGAAACAGCAGCAAACAACATGTGGAATAAGCCAAAAGAGGCAGTCCTGTTCACCCAAGGACAAAACCTGTTGGAACCTTCTAACACCTCTTTAAAGAGGGAATTTTGCAAAATTAATTTCCTAGTGGCAAAGAACCCCAGCAAAAACCTAAACCATGCAGTGTAGCCACCATGTACAGTGCAGAGAACCACGGTACCTTTTCATAGCAAAGGGGTTATGTTGAGAGAGGAAACACTCTTTCATGTCCACCTCAGACCTAGCTACTACAAACCTCCTCCATCCTACTGCCTCTTACTCAGCCCAATCCCTGTCCAAAGGGCAACATCATAAATTACTCCAAAATACTCTTTGGCTAAGAGGAAGACAATGAAGTTTTAGAGGTCTCCCACCTCCTGCCACCACGACTCAGCATCACATCAGTGCCATCCACCACCAACCACAGAAACAAAAATATTAACACACGAAGATTATTTCACTTTAAAAACAGGGCTTTACATAGAAGCTGCAATTAGGAGATACAGCTGTTTAAACTTCTCACTAGACAGAATCGTCCTCAGTCACAGAAATATCTGTGCTGATGGTGCAGACCACATGCTGGGGAACAGCTCACTGGGGCCATTCATCACCGAATTTACTGTCCTGAACAGGTGGGCTGGGAGCGTCCAACACACACACAACACAATCATTATGCACCACAGAGCAGCCTCTCCAGCCTGGCCTTGGAAAGTATGTTCTGAATTTTCAAGTGCTGCATTTATCCAGTGTTTACAAAAGATAAATCAATATGAACGCTGGCCTCAGAATTTACAATGGATTTACTTCAGAAAAGTTCTTTGGCTTAATAGTCCTTGTTTAGCAATATAACGGATATGGACTGTTATATCAAACGAAAGGTCAGACGTAATTGCAGGGCCTGTAAAACCAATAAAACTCTGATTTATTTTTTTAAATGTCATTACCAAACCCCATGAAAATTAAACAGAAGGCCTGAATGTGTAACACATTTATAAAGCACTCGTTTCTCACATAGTCCAATCTCATTCTAATCTTCTGACTGTGAGTTGCCACAAACCTGATTTTATTAGTGAAATCTGGGAACACCAGCTATGAATCAGACTCCAAACACACCACAGCTTGTCAGAGGTGGGCACTTGGCAGCCAAAGGGTCATTTCAGGTGTCCCACCAGTTCCATTACTGAGCTTTCCCTGATTCCAAGCAGGGAACTGCCTCACCTTCCCCACCTGAAAGCATCAGGCACAGGAATGCAGCAACTGTATCCTCAGTAGTTAATAAAACTTGGGAGTTATAGACTCTATGGAAGAACTGAAATAAAACCCCTGTGTCCCACATTCTTCCTCCTCCACCTGGAGGTCCCCCTCTCCCAGGCCAGAAGAAGGATACTCAAAACTGCTGTTGAAGTTGGGCAGCCAGAAAGGAATCAGTATTTGGTATTAAAATTAAAGCTGAATTTCTCAGTCTTCATAACTCATTATGCCTCTATAAATTTTCCAGTATTTTTTTACGTAACAGAGACGAGGATGTAACAGAAGGTCTTTAAAATATATTTTAGATAAGCAGTTCTGTAGTCATGAGTTACAGAAAACTGTAAGCAGAACAAAAGTTTATGGTCATGTCTAATCACAAAGTTTTAAAATTGTACATATGAAAAATGACCACATCCTGACTTTAGAATTATTCTCTACAACTCCCTAAAACACAATGCCAGAACTGGGCATGGGCACTCCACCTGCAGACACAGGAGGGCTGTACTGACCCAGTGAGGAGCTTGATGAATAAACAGTTGGTAAATTAAAGAGATAAACATTTGCTTAAAGGGATTCATGTCTGGAAAGCATCCCACGGCTCTGACTTTGGCTGTCGAGAGGAGCAGCAGCAGAGAGAGCAGCTGAGCCAGAGCACAGCAAAGGGGAGGCAAAGGTTCCTATTCCCTCCCCCAGCAGAAGGCATTTAACTCACACTGTCGGCTGTTACTGCTCTAACGTTGATAAATGTAATAAACCCCATCCTGGTCACTGCCCAGCCAGGGGACATGTCAACAAACCAAACACACTGGCTACTCATGCAGCAGTTTCTACAAGCGTTTTTAAACCAGGATCTGTAACCATTTCCCTAAAAATAACTGACTCTTCAAGCGAGCCCCTCTCCTAGTTGTGCAGAGCAGGTGATTTTGGGTGCCCCTGAGCACAAGAGCTAACTCAGTGATCCCCTGGGAAGGGCTGCAAAATGCCTCTTTACACCAGAGCATCAAACATACCCATCCAAAGTATTTTACATGTCTCAGTAAAGTAATTTGCTTGTTTAAATAGATACAGGCAGGTAGAATTCCTCCTCTCCCTCACAAGCCACTTCAAAGTCTGGCAAGGGAGAGTACAGTACATATGGTGTATATACATCCCAGTTTTTCCCAATAAAATGAAAATTTCCTATCAGTTATACTTTGTGAAGTTTTCTCCATTACTCCCTCAGACCAAGTGCTTATAGTAGCACTGAAATTATGTTTGACATGCTACATTTAGAGTCTCATTCTGTATTTTTGCCGGTGAGGAACATCAGTTAATGGGAGGGTGGCTGGTGATGGGCAGGGGCTGTGGCCACCTCGTGGACAGAGGCTGCACCACGCTCCCAGAAACCCTCCTCCATCAGAGCTGCAAGCATTCATTTCTCTAACTCGAGGTTTGTAACAGCTTCTAATCCTATTTTTGCTCTCAGTTTTAAAAAGGGATTTATGTCTCCGCAGCAGTCATAAACAGCAGACAAGCACATAACCACAGTACAAAGGGCAGAGATCAGTTTCACAGATATGTTTGGATACCCACTATGAAAAATGCTATTAAAGGACGATGCCAAAGGGCAACAATCAGCGTCACAACAGCAGAACACAAAGCATTTGCTGGAATTTTATAGCCCCTTTCCATATCCTTCCTTATAATCTCTTTACTTCCATCAAAGCCCAACCGAAACGTGCTTATCGACGAAAAGCAATTTCTCCACATGCTCTAAACTAAAGACCAAGGTCAGTATGATTTTATTTTGTAATCTTTCTTTTCAGAGCTTTTCATCACCTGAAACAACAGCCGAAAGTAAAGCACAAGATCTACCTGCAAATGCTGTGCCCACGCAGATTCTTCAGTCTTTGACAGAAAACTACCTTGACTCGGTTATTTACGGAGAAATTCACATTTTCTATCCAAATAGCTAAAACTGCAGCTACAGAGACTCAAGGGAAAGTAGGGAACTGTGCAAAGAGTAGAGGGAACGGGGCAGTTGTTAATCTTGCTAGAAGGGAGATTTTCTAACTACAGAGAGGAAACAAGAACTCTGTGACCGCAGTAATCCTGCGCCAAGCTGCCCAGGACAGCTGATTTCCTTTGTCTCCAGTTCTCACAGCACAGAGTTCATGAGCAGACACATTTAAAAAGCAGAGAACATCTGAGTCTTCAAACTCCTCCTGTGACAGAACACACTGCATAAGCCAGCCTGTGTTTCAGCAGCAGTGCAGAAACCAAGGGATGGCTCTGGGACGGCACCGTTATCTCCAAACCTGGCACGAGGGAAGTGTGGCCACCAGCAGCCTCAGCACCAGCTTTTATCATCCCCAACACACACATCCTTCTGGCAAAAAGCTTAACCAGCTGCTAAACCAAAGGTGATGTAAAAACACAGAGATTTTAGTAACGACATCATGTTATCTAAATATATATTCTTTTATGGTAACATACTCATCCCAACAGAGTGAGCCACCTGAACATCCAGACCACTTCTCATTTTCCCTGCCAGATGCTAACTCATAGCAGTACCATAAGATGGGAAAATAAAAGCCCCAGTAGCATCAACTCATCACACAAAAGCAAACCAGCTAACTACCACCATCACCCATTTATCCCAAAACACTTAATTTGCTACTATTTTTTACAAGGATAGCAAAATATTAATTTCTTAGTTGTTAAGATGTAACTTTTTAAAATAAAGAAATAAGCACAGTCAGCTAAAAAAGTCATCACAAGAATATAATCCAACCTCAAAGCTGCTGGGGAAGTGGTGGTCATCCCTAGTTTATCAGCAGCTTTTTAAAGTATGACCAAGATCTGGACAGATCTGGACAGGACCAGGATGCTCCTGAACAAGCACCACAGTGCAGAAACACCAGTGATGAGCAAAATTTGTGAGTTTGTATCATTTCCTTATGCTTCACCCTCTTCTCTCCCAATCTCTCACCTTTAATCCAAGAGGCAGCTTTACAAAGCTCGGAATTAAGACTCTGATGGAACAATGGTGGTTTTGAACATGGAGTTCTGACCACAAAGTTTTCCAACCAACAACAACTGTCAGCACAACTGTAATTCACATGAGCTGCATCCATAAAGCTGTAAGTCCCCAATAAGGTCCAAGACAAATTCCCCTGCAGTGTTAAAAGTGGGCAAAAAGCAGTGTGATGCTCTGGAAAAAAGACAGAATGACTGCATCACAAACAGCTTTGCCCTCGATAAACACAAACCAAAAAACTAATGCTTTACTTGCTATGACCCCAACCAGGTGTTCCAGCAATACATTATTATTTTAAAACACTAAACAGGAAATCTGGTCTATTTCTAAGGAAAATAAATTGTTCTGAAATGACCTCATAGTAGCACATTCTGATAAATGTCACAGAGGCAACCTCAGCAATTGCACCGAGGTATCGGGGACGCCGAGGAAG